TTCACTAACAGTCAAGCTGTTTCAGTGTCACCGTTTTCTATTATTAATGCATCAAACACTGTTCTGCATGTTGATGAGTCAAAACAATGAAATATTTTTATTCTTTAAAGCAAAACCTGAAATGTACGGTTTCTTTCTGATTATTAAAAACTACAACATGAATCGATTCATTTTATATAAGAAACAAACAGGATTGGAAATTTGTATGTATTCAAAAYGACAGATGTTTCTGAAAACTTAAACAGTATATTTGATTCATGTGCTAAATTTAAACTGAAGAATTAAAATCCAGTTTCAGTGATGCCTTGTGATGAGATGAAAGKGTAAGACTGCAAAACCTGCATAGAGATACCTGTAAAAGACCAAAACTAACTTGATATTTTTGTGTTTTACTTTGGAAGACCTAATTCTACATTTTTCCTTCTTCATTAAAGCATTTTAAACAACTTTTTTGTGTTTCATTGAATCAATCCCAACTATATAATGCTCAAGTATAAATAAAGCAGGGACAGTAACTGGTGACACATTGTGACTTCCGTCTGGTGAATATAAGTTCACTGAAGTTGTAAACATTAACAACTTTTTTGCCAAAACCACACAGGAGTCTGTACTCAAAGCAACTCTGCTTTGTTTATGTGCTCCAGCTCGCTAAAGTAAGAGTTTATTTTTTGTTTGCTTCAAACATTTTGTATTTATATATTTTTTAAAACCTACAGTGGTTATGGTGAATGGGGATGGATATAAAATCCATATGAGCGGAGGCCTCCTAAGTGGGCCCATTGCTCCAAAAAGACACCGGTCTTCATTCAAACCTTCTCGTTCCTCGGTTGAAGGACACAAAGTTAGAAACACTCAATGTTCTGAGCTTCTCAGGGTCCATAAAGGGGTCCCCAAGAATTCTTTTCCTTTGACCACTCAGAGCCAAGCAGTGGCCGAAGTAGTGCAAAGAGGTCTCTAAGGCTGTGTCCAAAACGATAGGCCGGGTCCTACGGAGGACCCAGACTACCCGGTCTCGGCGGGCCGGGTCCTTGGT